GGCACCGGCGGGAGAGCGCGAAGGCCCTGGGGCATGCGCAGTGACGGGATTTCTGGCCGCTTCCTGCAGCTCTGCTGCAGGTTTGGGCGCTGCGCAGCTGTGCGCTCTGCTGCGGATAGTGGCGGGGTGGGCGCTGCCTAGGGCCGGCTAGAATGCTTTGAAAGCGTGGGTTTGGAAAGAAGCTTCCAGGCTCGGTGTGGCGGACGGAGCGCTGCCTTGAAACCTGCACGGCCTCTGCCTAGTCAGGAGCCACCGCTCCTGCTTCTCTTCACCAGTGCCGTCTTTTTGATTCAGTTCCACGTCAAAATGTTAAGGTCGCCTGACGCCACCTATCCTTCCCCAGCACCTTGCTGCCCTGCTAAACTGAAACCAACTTTCCTGCACCCCTAACCCATGTCGACTAGAAAATACATGATTTGGGCCAAAGGAAATTTTTCAAACAGCCTTTCGGAATACCAAATACCATACCGCCTCCAACCTTTTGAAAATAGGTGTGGCTGCTAACCACAGGTCAGAGGCAGAGCAGCGAGTCGGGTTTGCGTTCTGGGGCGGGGTAGAATGTTGACAACAGTTCTGCCCAGCTGTGTTAGTAGTACCCGCTGCGTAAAGGAAAGCTGCAATATTCGCACGAGCAGCCGCGTGCTGACTGGTAGCGGCCAGCTTGTGCTATACTCGAAGCTTTGATCAGATGCTAAATTAGCAGGCCCTAACTATCTAAATTGAACCTAAAGCCTACTCCACCGTTTTAGAGGTGGGGAAATAGCCATAGGTTATGGTATATGCCTCCCCCGACCCTTCCGCTGGAATGCAGATTCCAGCAATGGAAAGACCTCGGCCTGTTGGCTATCACAGTTATGTCCTTAGCACTGTTCTTGGCGCATAGTTGGAATGAATTAATATTTACTGAACGAATTAATTAATGGAAAACGAGTTCCCAAGTATTCTCATTTAGTGGAGAAGCCAGAATTATGATCCGTCCCCTGACCCTAGCCAGGGCTTGTATTTGCCATGGGGGTTACTACTGGCAGGATCCCAGCGGCAGCCATTTACATGGGTCACTCCAACCTGTAAGGTATGTCAGCACAGGAGGGGCTAAGACAAACAAGTTTATGGCTCACCGTCTTTTCAGCTTCTGGTGACACCCTATTGGGAGCTTGTAGCCGCCATTGGCTAACTAGAAAAAGGGAATTACTTAGATTTCATCACTGATTTGGGGGTATCTGTTGCTCTGCATATTAAATGCACTGAATTCTGCCTGTAGCCTTTCGGTAGCCGGTGTTCTGAAACAGAAGACAAGACAATTAACAATAAAATAATCCTCAGGGGCTGCCCCGTGGTTTAGCGGTTAAGTGCACGCGCTCCACTACTGGCGGCCCAGGGTTCGGATCCCCGGTGGGCACCAATGCACTGCTTCTCTGGCCATGCTGAGGCGGCGTCCCACATACAGCAACTAGAAGGATGTGCAACTATGACATAGAACTATCTACTGGGGCTTTGGGGGGAAAAAAAAAGGAGGAGGATTGGCAATAGATGTTAGCTCAGAGCCGGTCTTCCTCAGCAAAAAGAGGAGGATTAGCATGGATGTTAGCTCAGGGCTGGTCTTCCTTACAAAAAAAAAATAATAATAATCCTCAGATAATATTCACTGAGTACCCACTGTGTGCCTAGCAAAGCTAGCATAACAGGAGCCTGGAGGACTACAGGGAAACTATTAAAATTTAAATCCTGAACGAGAATGCATTTTAACAGAGTGGGGTAAACACAGGGGAAAAAGTTAATGCTAGGTACATAGAGGACAGGCTAGGTCTGATGTACCAAATTTAGGAGCAAATATCAACAAAGATGTGAAGATTCAAAACTTTAACATAAGTGAAGTCTCTTTTTTTCCCTTTCAGTTTGTGTGGGAGTGGTGGACTATACAAGACTGCATATTCACTGTGAGAATCACGGTCTCCTCTGCATCTCAGTCTGGAGAATCTTGGAGGAAATGGTACTTCCGGCAACTCAAAGCAGAAATGATTGTCAGCCTTGGAAATGGGAGTTGTTTTTTGCCCTTGGAGTCTATAAGAGAAGGCAGGGCCTTGCAAGTGATAGTAAAGAGAGGGAAAGAGGGAGAGGCAAATCCAGTTCCTTGATACTCCTGAAAAGAATTCCTCATGATTCTCTTCTGGAATATCATCCGCCCGGCATATTTTGGTGCTATGCAGAAAATTGGCAGAAGTTTAGGCAAATAGGATTCTAAACCAAAATTACATAGTTATTGAATAGGTGAGAAAAACAGGAAATTTCAGCAACTATCAACCAAAAGGTAACAAAAAGACAATCAATAGGTTAGAACAAAACAAAAAGAACAAGGCATTTAATCAATGAATATTTATTGAGCACCAGTTTTGCTACCAGCATGGTGCCAATTACAGAGAATTCAGAAATGGTTTCTGTCCTGCAGCCCAGGCAACAGAAACCTGGCCACCAAAGGCATCTTTATAAAACAGGACCAATCCTGGCATGTTTTTTGAAGGTACATACATCTAAATACCACCATCTCTTAGCTAGATTCCTTTAAAGATAATAAAAGTCCCAATCTCTTCTCCTCCCTCCAAAATAAAACTTTTAAAAATGTAAACGTTAAAAAAAAAAAAAAAACAGATTCAGAAGAGCCTGTGTGTATATGTGTGGTCTATGCCTCTATGTATGTACATGACTACATGTGAATGTGGGTGTGTGTCTGTGTGGTGTGCATGTCTGCAATGTATGTATGAGTCCTGTGTGTATATCTGTGGTGTATGTGTGTGAGTTTTCTGAGATTGTCTACAGTGTATGCATGTGTGTAAGATATGTGTGTGTGCCTGTGGTGCATATGTGTGAGTTCTGTATGTGTGTCTTCAATGTTTGCATAAATTCTGTGTCTGCAGCATGTGTGTGACTTCTGTGTGTGTCTGTGGTATGTCTGTGCTGTGCGTGTGTTTGTGGAATGTGCAGGTGAGTCCTGTGTGTGTGCGTCTGTGGAGGTGTGTGAATTGTGTGTGTGTGGTGTATTTGCATGTGAGTTCTGTATATGTCTGCAGGATGTGTGCATCTGTGGGGGGGTGTCTGCAGAGTGTGTATGACTTCTGTGTGTGTCTGTGGGGTGTATGTGTGAGACCTGTGTGTGTGTCTGTGGGGTGTGCATGTACCTACATATGTAGCCAGTATCAGGAGGTGAATAAGAATCTGAGCTCTGGAGTGAGAGAAGCCTGAGTTGGGTTCCTGCCTGTCACATGGTAGTTCACCCTGGACAAATTATTCAGTTCCTCTATTTCTAGTTTCTTTATCCATTAAAAAACCATCCCCTCCTTCCCATGGGCCATGTGAGAACTGGATGGCAGATGTGTGAGAAGTGCACAGCACAGTGTCTGGTGCTCAATGAAGTGTAGCAATTGTCCATCCTTGTCGTATTCATAGAGACGTGTCTAGACAGACATTATCCAACATCTTACCCAGCTGGGTGGTAGGAATTGCGGTGTTTTTAATTTTCTTTTTATAATTTTCTGTATTGCTTGGATGTTTTGCATACATATGTGTTATCTCTGTAATGAAAAAACCAATACATGGTCTTTTAAAAAAATGTAAACATTCATCCATTTATTCATTTATTAAATAATCATTTCTTTATAAACCTAAT